AGTACTTGATTGCATGACTTACCTCGCATCCGCAGGATTGTCCACTCCCTAGGTCTTGTTCATGTGCTTCCCCTTGAATATTATGCATGGGCAGATTGCAGTCCCATCAGCACATATGCACTCGATGATGGTAATTAATTTGCGATTACCGTTCCTGACGTTGTAGACATCTTTCTGGTTGCAATCCACAAGAACTTTGACATCATCCATGATGCCAAGCTGGATACCCTTCTTGTTGTTGTACCTGTTCTCGGGGGGATCCCAAACACCTCGACGACCTGTCCAAGGATGCCATAGTACCTGAAAACCTTCAGGCAGTTGAGCACCTTCGCACGGCAGGCTTGGAGCTTCATTGCCCAATGCACAGCTAACTCTGGATGACACTTCTTGAAGCGCTGGTACCACAATGTTCTGATAGGAGCACCTGCAATCACCAACACATGGTCGATGACTGCCTCCTGCGTGAGTGGCACACCATGCCGTCCAACCTCCTTGATCCACGCAACAAGGACCTCCTCCTCCGTCGGGTTCAACTTGTGTTGTGTGGGATGTGCACCTCTGTGTGTGTCTTCTTCCTGATGTAGTGGTCCTTCAAAGTGGAAGGCACAAGACCATACACCTTGGCAGCACTGCAGATAGACATGACTGGCTTTCCATTGGGCTTGAGGCCTGATGCATTGAGGGCTGTGAGCACAGCATCAATCAGGCGCGCCCTCTTGGCCTCCTTCGACTCGTTCACCAGCTGAGCAGTGTCCAACTCGGAGTCTATCAAGGAAAACTGTGTTAGTTTACAATGCCATCCCAGAATACGTGTTGACTTACCAGAATGTGAGTCAGACTGAACACCAGGCTTGCCTGCCTCGCTGCATGCAAGCTCCAGGTCAGCTGAGGTATCCACCTTGTCTGCTGGCAACATGAGTGCATGCAGGAGCCACAAAGCTGTTCTGGCTCGCCACACCCTCAGTTTTGCCGTGCATGGGCTCTTCATCAGTGTCCGATTCAGCATCATCATCTAAGGAGGGTTAGTGAGTATAGTACTGAGAGTAGTGATGAGAAGTCAAGAATTGACAAGCGATGGAAAAGTGACCTCCAAGCGCTCAATGAGATCTCAAAGAAGTGCTTGTGTTCACCAGTATGGTACTCGAAGAGAGTATCGGGTATAAATGAGAGCCTGAATGAGTGTGATAAAACGGAAAACGGAGATGCTATTCAGTAGATTGTAGTACTGGACATATGCCATGGGCGTACAATGATGACTGCTATTCTTACATAGATCTATCTACTAGTACAATTTTGTTCCTATGTGTGATCAGAACCTCTGCCAAACATTGTCAGGTGCATGCCAGTCAAAGTCAGGGGCTAGCTCCTCCAAGTATCTGTCTTCTCCATGCTCAGGCCTCACGCCCAACGGTGTTCCTGTATCCACTTCACCTGCATGTACTTGTGAGGAACTCGAAGGTTCCCAGGCCAGACATATGGCTGGTCCATGAATTACAGTTTCATGGAACATGTGGGGGGCTCCGATCTCAGGCCCTTGGCATGGTCACTCACGTAGAGGGTGACACTTACATGGCCAAGCTTGAAGGTAGGAATTTGGCGTAGGGGGAGGTGTAGGACAGGGGTTTCATCTTCAAGCATTGATGCAGGAAAGAAGGTTTGTCGTTCAACATCATAGATGTCAAAGCCAGTGTCGCTGAGGCCCATGCGGGGCAATGTCCTCCACGGGCTCAGCCCTGGGAACGTGAGCAGCATCAGGGGCTGCTCCGTAGGAGGAGCTATGAGCATCTCCTTGCTCTTCTCATCTATCTCGCACCAGATGGAGATGGGGTCATTGAGATCCTGAAGAAGTTTGAGTCAGAATTGAGGGACCATGGGATGTACCTTGACAAAGAACAAGGCCTCCACCACACCACTCTGGGAGTGTCCTCCTCTGGCCCATAATCCTGCAAGAGTCCCGAGGGGGACTCTCCTCCAGTCCTGATAAAACAGCCCAACGGCACCCAGGAACACCCAGCCTCGCATTCTAACAGGCCCGAAAGGCCCAAAAGCTGTTGGATTGAATGCCATCTAGGATGGACGTCTGTACCTCCGGTGTGGGCTGCATCCAAGCCGGGCACCGGGCCATGGGACAGCCCATTCTCTGATGTGTCATACACTTCGCAAATAGGAATATTAGCCAGCTAATACCACTACACAGATACAGGGCACTCACATAGTTGTATAACTCCCCGATGTTTTTCTTTTCCAGGCATAGGACTGTAACATGTGTCAGACCGGATCTGTGAGGGCATTGCCTAGTCCCGTGTTCCGCTATCTGCAGATAGGATGGCAGGCCATTCTGTGAGATGATGTTGAGATGGTGGGGTTCAATGCAGGAGATGGCCATGATAAAGCTCAAGATGTCCGTAACAGCAGGATGAATTGTGAGGCAGGTGGGAGCAGTCTGAGAGTGGTTCAGAGACGGTTGAGAGAAGAGAGCAAGAGTTACCAAGTGGTCAGAAAGCCACACTCAAGTGCTTGCTCACACTTGATCAGGTCTTCATGATGTGCTCGCACTCACCAGTACTTGGACTCAGAGTGGGCAAGAATTGTATGTATTGAGCTAAATGTATTCTTAGATCTGTGCATGTTGACGAGAGGCAGTATCAGGGAATGCAAGCAAAGAAAGGCTGGATGGTTGAGATGATCACCTGGAGTGTGATGAACCACCACGAAGAGCAGCTTGCATGCTGTAGTGCCCATAAGAGAGCTGGTAAGGGTAGGCAACACCCACCAGGTACCAGCTGACTCTCCAACACAATGAGATAATGCTACCACGTGCATGTGCAGAGGCATCCTGCATGATGCAGCTGTCGAAGTTCGTAGGCTGCATGCTGTGCAGCGGAGAAGGTGACCTTGCTGGAGATCCAGTCCATACAGTGTTCAGAAACCTGGATGCACCTCAGGATGAGAGTGTCAGTGAAGGCGACAGAATACATAGAATCTCAATCAGCACACCTTCTCAATAACATTCGAGATGAACTTCTGGACAAACAATGCTTAGACATTGCCCATGAACTGGCAGATGACTGCATTGCTGAAGCAGTGGTCTGCCGCATTAGTATTGACTGGTATGCGTGGCAGATGGTGCTTCAGTCGCAACAGACTCGAGCCCAAGTTGTACTCTGCACTCTGCTGGGGGGATGATGGATGTCAGTTGTGTTTTCCCAGGCTCTATGGGATGTGGACAACTGAACTGTGTTCAGGTCGACGCCCTTCTACAACATGTCAATGCAGCATGGTTTTGCATAGACATGCAGACCACAACAGACCTGTGACATGACTGCACTATCCCGTATGCCTGCATCATCCACACCTTCCATGAGGTTACACTAAGAGAGAATGGTCAGCACTTACAAGTGCATCTCCAGCTACCATTAGAACACGTACCATCCCATGGGTGTTACATTCATGTCATGAGGCCTACACACAGCGAGGCCTTCAGAGAGCAGGTCAAGAGTGATGATGTCGAGATAGGAGACTTACTGACTCAGCTACGTCAAGGAAAGATGGAAAGCCACTACCATAGCATCTGGTAGGTGTACATACCAGCCCAGTCGTTCAGATGGACTCTGGTTGCCTTGTCAAGAATGTTGTTGGAGGACCATTCCCTTGGAGCTTGCCCCACCCGGCCCATCCAGAAACAAAGATATCAGCTGGCATGACTGGTGTATAGTATCTGAGTCAGCTGTATTATCCTTCCAGGTGGAAGACCATCCGCCCCCGGGGGTGGCTTACTCACAGAGTACATGAGATGCTGTGGGTCGGCTGCACCAGGGAAGTGGGTATACCACTCCACATATGCAAGAGGACCCTGAGGCCACCACAAAGGTGCTGGACTGCCACCATGAGATGGGGAGAGCGTCTTAGGCAGTGTGAAAATGACTTTGACGTGCCCTGCCCTTGTGCCTTTACAGTGGAAATGAGCAACATTATACGCAGGAACTCAAGACATTAAGTGAGTACCTTTGACCCTCATTGCCTCAGCCTCCTCAGTCTCAAGCACAATGGCTGTATCAAAATGGCTCTTCCTTCCCTGGTGACCAGAAGCAGGCACTGACCTGATAGCATCAACCTCCAGTTTGCTGTCCAGCAGCTCACAAGGGTTGAATTGAACCTTGTGATACACATCAACACAATTGAAGGGCAACCAGGCCCTTGATAGATCACGTTGAGTGAGTGTCAGTTCAGGCGGCTGTAGGTCATTGATGTATCTTGCAAGAGCGGTGGTAAAGCCAGGTGCATTGTGCTGCATCTGGACCATGGCAAGATTGTTGTGTGGGCAATGGTGGGTGCTTAGCTATATTGATAGAATGGTCTCCTGCCACTGGTTTGGTGTCCTGTGCATCCTGAGCATTGGCATCCACTGTCCGGCCATCCTCTTCTTCCTCTGGGTCCTCTACCTCCTCCTCCTCACAACACTCCTGGAACATTTTGTAAAGGGCCATTTTCTCCCGCCAGGAGATCCACTTCACCATCTGTGGAAACTGGTCCATATGGTTGGAGGCTTGCCATACTTTCTTGGCGAAGTCAATATGGAGTTGCTCAAACAACTCTGTATTATAGTTGTCTGTCGTCCTGAACTGTCAAATTGACTGGACGTAATGGAGGAGGGAGTGAACCTTGGGGATGTTGAGATCATCTTGTATCCCCAGCTCTACCAGGACATGCTTGTGTTTGTGAAAGGTGTCCAATGCATCCTCAAGATATCTGAGTGTGTTGTTATCGTGCGTAGGGTATTGAGCTATATAGATGAAATCAAGCAGAGCTCAAAAGGCGAGGATGACAGAGTTGGGAATCTTCCCTATGAGACAGCCCAGCAGGACACAGGCCATCTCCTTGCACTCTTTGCTGGACACTTGAGGGTGGAGATACTGTTCTTGATGTGTTGAACACCGTGCGCAGGTGGGAGACATCAAAGTCGGCTGTCCAGCTCTTCTGGACCTATGAGATCCTGCCACCACACGATCCCCCAGTTTGTCAGTGGGACACTGACACTTGGGTAGTCAGTGATGTAAGATGCTAGGATGGGGTGTACCCGATGAACAGCACCATCACTGCCTGTCACTTCAAAGCCCTCAACACCGGCACGAATGAGGGGCTTGAGGATGATGCGCATAGCTGCATTAAAAGCTGCTGGGTCCACGATTTGTGTTACGCTTGGTCATGTTCAACTTACTGATGCTTGAAGGGTTTGCGATGGAGGGCACAAGGAATGTTACCTAGGGTCAGGTACACCGGGCATGCACACTTGTTACTTGAAAACTGGGTGAGCTGGGTCTTGTCTGTGGAATTATTCACAGGTGCAGCAGCAGCACCCCCTGGCAGTAATTGCTATGTCCCCAGGATGTCAGAGATGGACAAGGTAGGTGGGAAAACTGATGCTTACCTGGACAGCATTCCCCAAAGACCAGTCCACATTTTGGTGAAGATCCTGTGTATTTTGGAACAGCCAGCGAAGATACACCTTGGGCAGTACATGATCGGCTTAGCATATGATGGGTTACCTAGGAGGGCCTGTATAGCCTCGAGAACGTCCTGGTATCATATAATGTGTTCCTTGTCTGGCCGGTCACAGAATGTCAAGGTTGTCATCTTCCATGTTGCCCTGTCAGGAATACTGTTGACTTCCATGAAGAGTTGCCTGATGTCCTTGAAGGTTAGCCCCAGATTTTCAACCACCTGCAAACCAGCCACATACATGGTGAGCTCTTGCAGTGTCTATGAATAGAGAAACCTACCCCTGGTATGCACAGGAACCAATTTAGAGAATTCTGGCCAACATCCTCGTGAACTGCCCACATGGCCACCTGCCAGTCAAGTTCGGATGTGAATGGCCTCCACTTCTGGTTGAGATCTCCCTTGTCCAGGAAAACCACACATTGTACCCCTGGTTACACCGCCTGGAACTCAATTTCTTGTCTGCACTGGGTGAGTTCAAAATGTGGTGTGCTTCAGATGAGTTGATTTTGTGACTGATCTTGCTACTTAGCTATGTTGACTGCTGTCGAGTGTGTCTTTTCCCAAGGTGTTGAGCTTGAAATTTATTCCGCATTTCTGCGAATTATTCTGAGCTCCATTGCCCTGTCCAAGTCGTGGAATGTGTCCTGCTGTGTTCTCCTTTATTCTGCATGGACGCCATCACTATACCGTGCATACTGTACTTTTCGACATCATTCCCTTCAGTCTACCATTTTCTATAATGTTTGCATCTTCAGGGATTTGAACCCCTGCACTCATCCGATTTTTCACTGCTTCGTTGATTTCGACTTTGTGGTTGTTTCTACTGTACAGTTATGGTCGCCTTACATAACACACACCTAGACAGTCCGCCTCGTCGAGCTCCAAGTCCCTAAGACCTTACAGAGCTCGACTTAGGCCTTTGGAATCACTCTGAGGCGCACTGCAGCCAACAGCAAGATGACAACACTCACAGTCAAATTGTTGTCTTCACCAGTTTCCATGAAACTTCTGTCAGTGTTGCCACCAGCATGCTCAAAATGCCATACATGGAACCCCCATTCACGTTTGCACAGTGACTCACCACCATCATTCACTTTGGTTCACACACAGGATGCCTCCTAGAACAATTTGTGGCTGAGGCACAGCAAACCACATTCATTGGCACATCATGTCACCCTCTTGATGTGTGTGAGCACACCCCAGAGGAGTACTTCAGTTATCAAAAAGGTTTCATTGAGCACAGCATGCTCACCTCTGTCCTTGACTCCTCCTGTGGCCAAATCTTAATTGACAGCTGTGGGTCCAGTGTAGGATTCCCAAGTAGCCAGGGTATCATTGAGTGGACTTGTGCCATGAACTCCATCCTCGAGAGACAGGAGACCATCCACATATTTGCTATATGTGTACAGAGATTTGGTGAGTCATCTGTCTTACCTTGGAGCCCAACACAAATTTAAACTATGAAATAGCTCACTGGTCTACCTCTGACTGCTCCCACTGCCACTCCACCTGTCCTGTGTGCAGTGGTGCCTGTCATACCCACTATGCCAGTCTTGACAGGGCCTCCCAGTTCACTGACCCAGAGTGACCTGCAGCCCCTCTGCAACTACATTGAGCAACACTTCCCATCTGCAACACAAATTATTGCTGCAATACAGAGCCACCAGGAGCAGCTCCAGGGCAATGGAGGCAGGGCCCACGGTGTCAGGAATCATTGATTTCCGCTGAATCTGTGGTTGTTCCAATTCCAAGCACTCAAGTCTATCCTGAGACTTGAGATACACACGCACCACTACACATCATACAATCAAGAGTGCATGGGAGAATTGTTCAACTTGTGTCACTTACAAGGATATTTCTGATTGGGCTGGTGTTGAGTGGAACAATGTGGTGAATATCTGCCCAATTTATGTTCACTTGGAAGCCGTGTATTGAGTCAACTACCCCTCTACTCATCCAGACATGTTCTCAGCCCTCCCTGATGCTCATAAGTGTAGCGTTAACCAAGCAGGGGCTATCATTGATGGCAACTTCTTCAGTGGATTGGAGGACGACCTTGATGTTGATGCCCAGCAACAATCACATGCACTGTGGGAAGAACCTTCCACATTGGGCTCCATGCTAAGTGTTACATCCCCTCCAGTCATAAGATTCCTTTGTACCTCAGGGGTCATAATTCCTTCATACCTCAGTGGTCATAAAAGGGCACACACACTGGTGGAACTGGCACCACCAGCTCATCAAATGACCATTCTGGTGCTCTTGATTTCTCATCTGCCATCCTGGGAAGCCAAGTACATGAAAATAGTCCTACAGTAATGTGGTCAGCAGGTCACACAACCATTGTTCCAGAGTACTTGATTCACTTTCTGGTGATTTGGGTGCCCTCAACCTCAAGCTCCCAGTTTGTAGCTGCACTGGAGGGCATGGAGCGCACCTCCCCTGTTCAGCTCAGAAATTTACTGGCTAATGGCATGGTGGTTCATGTCCCAGATGCCCAGGATGTGTCCAACTTCTCCTTGACCCTGAAGGCACTGTACCCACAGTATGGGATCATCCCAGCCACTTGAGTGGATCTTCATGGTTTGTTGATAATTTGTCTATATTGCCCTGATCAATGATTTCATGATTAGATGTGGGTCAATGAACCAATGGCTGGAGCAATCCTCACATCACAGGAACCATCTGTGACTTCTTTGATGGGCTGAATCATGATCCATCCTCAATACAATATGTGCTGTCCTGCAAGCTCCAACATAGTGGATGGTTTCCATATAAGTGAGTCTTTTGTGATTCCTGAGCTCCAGTGCTGAGACTCTGTATCTGGCATTGGACAGCCTCACAACTGCACAGAATGTCACCCAAGTATCAAATGTGGGTGGACCTAGTGTGGCAGTATCTGATTTCTGAGAGATATGCAACTGGGGTCTGTTGCCCCACCCAGCCTTGTCAATATATATCCACACAGGGATGCAGATGGCATGGGGACTTGGGTAGCTTTGTTGGCCTCAAGCTGTGGTTTTTTTCCATCTCAAGGAGCAGATTCATAGCCACAAAGAAGCTACTGCCAAGCTTGCTGGCCTCATCAACTTAGAGAACTGGTCTGACCACAAAGGGCTGAGACTGCAGTCACCACCCAGTCATTTTGATTTGCCACTGCCTTGGGAAGGGATTGCAGACATAAGAGGTGGTTGCTCTGTGCCCTGGTGATTTACTGTGAGTATCATTGCATAGCTTTGGTATGTGGAACCTCACCTCAGGCATAGCCTCATGCTAAACAATTTCCTAAGGATCATGCCACCTGGTACAATTCATGCTGTGGTAAACCCCACCACCTCTTTCACCACTTGCTGGGGAGAGGGCCATAGCTGGCAGTACGATCCATTTTGTTGGATACATGTCAGTTTGTGAAAAAAATCATTTTGACCACATTAGTAGTTAAGCTTGGCAAGACTGCTAGTATATTGTCTGCATAGAGTACTGACATATCTTCCGCATTTTGCACCATCCAGTTGCCATCTCGTGGTATAAACATTCAGGGTAGCTTTATGAGGTTGTTTTACGATCCCTGAGGTACGAAGGTATCGTTCTTATGATGGACCACCATGAAACGCCTTAGTGATTCCTCCAGAATGGCAGTTTGTTCCCACAGTGCACGTGATTTGCAGCCACTCCGATAAGCAGAGATAAGTAATTGTTAGTAGGGATTGCTTATCTGAGTCTGAAATTTCAGACTCCCAGACAACGTGACTTGGACCAACAGATACAAACAAATGCAGTAGCTAAGCGCTCAGTTATGGATATGAGGCCCATGAAACGCCTTAGCAGTTCCCCCAATAAGGAAACTGGTAAACATATCATGTGACTGGCAGCTGGGTGGGCCATTGCTCCAAGCGCTCACACACTGTAGGGCCTATATAGCCTCAGCCAGTAACAAATCATAGTATACATAGTATGCTCATCTGATAGCCCTTCATTCAGAGAGTATACAGAAATTCTATTGAGTGTATACAGTGGCTGGCTAACCCAGGAAATGCAAAGCAAAAAAATGCACATGTGCCTCTGCAGATTCAATCTGCTTGTTTATGACTCAAATTACGATCCCTGAGGTACGAAGGTATCGTTCTTATGATGGACCACCATGAAACGCCTTAGCGATTCCTCCAGAATGGCAGTTTGTTCCCACAGTGCACGTGACAGTCAGCCACCCAGATAAGTAGAGATAAGTAACTGTTAGTATGAGTTACTTATCTGACTCTGAAATTTCAGACTCCCAGACGACGCGACTTGCACCAACAGATACAAACAAATGCAGTGGTTAAGCGCTCTGTTATGGATATGAGGGCCATGAAACGCCTTAGCAGTTCCCCAATAAGGAAACTGTTAAATCTGTCATGTGACTGTCTGCCTGGCAGCTCACTGCAAACGCTCACATATTGTAGACCACTAGTAGACCCAGCTAGTAACATCTAATTAGTACACATAGTATGCTCATCTGATAACCCTTCATTCAGAGAGTATATGGGGATTTTACGGAGTGCATACAGTGGCTGGCTAGGCCAGGAAATGCAAAACAAAAAAATGCACATGTGCCTGTGCAGATTCAAAGTACTTGGTTATGGCCAAAATATGGTATATCTGTCAACTGTAATACATATATGTGTGGTTGAGATGCTAATAAGGATTATAACAGGCAGTCTGAGCACCTTTTGCCATAATATGGCCATTGTATACAATGTAATGGCAATCATTTGCAGCATCAAGCAAAGGTAGACTTGTCTTTGATGCGTCTATATATTTCATGGCTTTCCTGCATTTGTTCTGAGCCCCATATCAACTGATTTGTGCATGATTCCTATTTGGGAATGTCACATCCTCCATATGGTAATCATGCAGTGACTGGCTTTGTTTTTCATCTTGAGTGGCTGCTTACACTTGACTGAAGCTCCATGCTCCAGATGTAACACTGTTGCTAATATCCACACTTGATATTGAATGGACCAGAAGGATTTGACTATGCTTTCTTGAGTTGCACAGGTTGCTAAATGAATCATGAACTGTAAATTCTTCATTGGACATAGTGTATGGTATCTGTGTGGATTACATATAAAGGTGTAGATGCACAAAATGCTTTTGTCAATGGATCATCAGCAGCAGAATTCATTGATGACAATGGATACTATGGTTTTGACACATACGTCAAGTCATAGAATTGAGTCATTCACCGTGATATCTTCCATATTGTACATGTAGATTCACCATGTACAATGAAGCTCTACTACAATATGCCATACTAGTTGCAAGGTATGAAGTTATAGAAATGAGCCATGTTGGTGAACAAATAACCCATACATCACTTTCTGTATAACTCACAGGGTAATTGACTTCAGTGATACTCTGGGCAACCCTACATTAGTTCATGGTCATAAAACACTTATGAGCCTGCACAACATGTAGAATACATCAAATCTGTAGTGTCTTGCCATGGAAAGCACTCATTGTATGGCTTAGATAGACAGACAATTATATGGGTATACAGTATTGAGTATTCTATGACTGATTTCATCACAGTATTTTCTATTACATTGGTTGTATAAAGTGACATAAGTGGGGCACTCACAGACACATGGATATGTGTGTCCTTTGCATTCAGTACAATGTAGTCAAGTTATCAGATTGTCAACCCATTCCCACCTACAAAGTGTTTGTGAGGGTTCATGAACAACTTAGAAGCATGCACAACACATTGTAATATGGAGCAAGTGTCCAATACCTGATTCAATCTGTTACATCCCATCCTGTTGTTATTATGTTACCATGTTAGTGACACTGTATTGTCATGTGAGTGACATGTGAGTGACATGTGAGTGACATGTGAGTGACATGGTGTTATCATGACTGTCACACTGTGTTATGACTTATGTCACACTGTTTGTATTGGAATTGACTCAGACTCAATCCCATATGCATGCCAGTGGATGCCATTGAGCTCATCCTTGTGCCCTCTTGGGATCAAGTTATGATTATTTACAATGTCTTGCATACTACAGTACTTCTTTTTCATATACTGATTGAGA